TGCAGGTCACATTTAAAATGTAATGTGAACGTTCACACAAAAAGATCGGATTTTTTCAAAAAATCGGAACTGAGCATTAAGACCTGCAGTGTGAACGTAGCCTAAGGCAGCAAGAAGTAAAGAATCCGGCCTGTCTTTTCCAGAGCCGGTGAGTAAACTCGCCCTGAGGTTTTTTTTTTTAAGTTTTAAATTTTATATTTTTTTACCTCGCTCCGAGGTAAAGAGGCGGGACAGACGGTCTCTGCTCCCCACCTCTTCCTTCGTTTGTCTTCTAAATAAGCTGAGGTGGTCAGTAACATAATGAGTTTATGTTCCAGTTTTCATAGCAGCCTTGWGGAAATATGGCGCTTCACCTCACATGACTCATGCCRTCATAATTTTTATATACCTTCACCATAATTTGATACCGCGGTATAACAAAATACCTTCATACCGCCCAAGAATAGTTTTTTTAACCACCTCAGTAGAGAGCAGTACTAAATATCTGAATATTAGTATCTTAGCTTCTTCATCATCAGTGGCTTTTTTTTAATAGACAAGAAAGAAGGAGAAAGAAAGGAAAGAAAAGTTACAATGTAATGGAAAAAAGTGAAAGAAAGAATTGATGATATGTGAGATATACATCAAGAAAACAATACAATACTGTCTGCACACCTGCAAAGAATTAAGGCTACAAAACTTAGTAAAAGCATACACATATACATTTAGACAGATAAACAGATAAAGAATAGTTGCTGAGAGCTTTGTATGATAGACGGGAGATTTTCAACTATTCTGAATTGTGCAAACCTGACAACTCATTTACAGAAGAGCTCAGCCCAGTTTTTTTTATGGGCTGGTTAGTTCGCTGAACTGCAGCATCTGGAACACATYGTTGTAGCCAGATCTTTGAAATGATAATCACACAGAAGTCACACCTGAATTAGTTTTTCACTGTCCGCAGCTCCAGTTTCCCTGTTTAGTGGACAACAGATCTGGTGTTGGTGAAGTTGATAAACAAAAGATCCTCCACCAAAGTAGACCTTCTCTGTATTCTTATTTCTGTCTTCACTTTCATTACCATCACCGCCTCCGAGCAAACACAAAAATCCAGGGAGAGCCCGGAGGTCTTGCTATGTCCAGTGGTTTCTTGTGAGGATCCTTGAAAGTCCCAGAACAACATGCAAATCAGATATCCTGTAACTCCAAGAGAGGGTTGTTGTGTTTGATCTCAGACATACATTATCAGCACAGATACTGAGCCGTAACGAGCCAGAAAATATGCGCTGAAACAAGATGTGTCCTTCCTCGCTGCCATGGTTATACTTTATCAGGCAGAATTATTCAATTTTATAATGCAGTTTTCTTTTGATGTACAGTACGCCTTCCTCATACTTAAAATTCTGTTTTAGAGTTTAATGGTGATGTTTTAGGTGGGAAAGCAACTGAAGATTGTATATTAAAACCATGATTCTGATTTTTTTATATAGAGCTTTTAGATTATTGCATGAATACAAGAATTTGATTTATATGTATTTTATATACCTTTTGTTATATATAGCTTTATTCTGTTAGGTC